TCTGAACTATTTCTAAGATTGTATTGTTCTCACACTGTTTAGCCTGGCAGAATCCCCATCAACTTTAAAAACATACTCCAATGGTAATTGGCTAATCTATATACATATACACAGTTAAAAAATTTAGAGGTAAAACTATGCATATGTTATACTGTTTTAAGCCTAAATACAATTCACATTTTCTTCCTCAGTGTATTAAAAGAGATTTTCTTAGGAAAGGGAAGAATGCAGATTTTAACACTGTAAAAATATTACCTTATTATATAAATGATCTCTGCTATTTTTTTCTCATCCCTAATGAAGCCCTGATTGTTTATCTACCTTGAGGAGACTAGTTGAAGTCATATATTTTTCCTAAAGTTTAGATTTTCTAGTAAATTTATAAAAATTAACTAAATTAAAATGTGTTTTCAACCTTCTAGCTACTGTGAAACTATAATTATATATCAAATGGTCTTTCTATACTATAAGAAATTTCTCATAAAAAGATATTATTTTAAAATATTTTCAGTAATTGAGTAAATATAAAGGCTTAACATTTTGGTAACACTCACAAACATTTCTAAAATGTCACACAATGTGAAAAATGGAATAATTTCTGAAACTAAGTGCTGTTAAATTATTTAACATGAAAAATTCTGTTCAAGTAGCCATTACTCAGCCAAAAATGTTTTAACTACAGGCTGAAGTAGCCACTTTGAATTTCTTACTAGTAAGCATAAAATAGAAATGGCCTAGATGACATATACTTGTTAGGGAATCAGAGAATGTTTTAGTTCAGTGTTAAATCCCTTATCTGTAGTCTGTAGGGTCAGATCTATTTTGAATTTTTCAGATGATTAGAAATGTGATGTGGAACTTACTACTTAACACTGGTGGTGACTGGGCAGCAGCCAGAAATTAAACACATTAACAGTTTTTCACAAATATCTGAGTATTCACATTAAATAGGATCAACTTAAGTTTGGGTCAAGTTTCCCTCTGATAGATTTCAGGTCAGATTGGATTAGGACCCATTTTGATTATGAAATAAAGTTTAATTTTCAGAGATTTTTATCTGATAAGTACAAGATTTTAGGCTTAAATTCTCTGTGACCTTGGTCATTTTGTGGGGGGACTCAATCATCTCAAATGCTAAAATGAGAAGTTAGACTGTATCATAAATTATTTGCTTTTTGTGGTAAGAACTTTTTTTATTAAGTGATTTGTCAATTAGTCAACACACAATATTACATTGGTTTTAGGTATACAACAGTGATTAGACATATATATATACACCTTCAAATGGGACACCCTGATACATCTAGTGCTCATCTGGCCTCATACACAGTTATTACCATATTTTTGACTATATTCCCTATACCATACTTTACATCCATGACTTTTTAAAAAATATTTTATTTATTTATTTTTAGAGAGGGGGAGAGAGAGAGAAAAAGAAGGAGAGAAACAGCAATGTGTGATTGCCTCTTGCACACCCTCTACTGGGGACCTGGTCTGCAACCCAGTCATGTGTCCTGACTGGGAGTTGAACCAGCAACCCTTTGGTTCTCAGGCTAGCACTCAATCTACTGAGCCACACCAGCCAGGGCCATCCATGACTATTTTTATAATTGGCAGTTTGTTAGACTAGTAGATTATATATGAACTTCTCATATTCCAAATTTGAATGTCTGTTTAATTCCCTGATAAATAAACACTAAATTAAGTCAGTTTTATAATATCTCATTTAATAATTAGTTCAGCAGCCCTCAACATTCTTGAATTGTGAGTAGTAGTTGTTTGTGATTTATATATAAATATTGTGTTTCCATTGGTCTTCTATATAGTTGAAAACAAGCCATGTTTTAAGTTTATGAAGACAGATTGGTTTTTATTTGCAGTTTTGATTACCAGAATATATTCTAGTGTAAGTGATGAAGGCATTCTGGGAGTCTGGGGACCCAAGGGTCCATAACCCACTGTGGGTTCTTGACTTTGCACAGAAAATAATTCAAACCTGAGCCAGCATTGAGTTTAACGTGAAAATGAGATATTAATGAAGCAGTGAGACAGAGAATGGGCTATTCCACAGACAGGGCAGCCCCCCTTTAGCAGAATTTGTTTTCTTTATTGAGTTTCATTTAATTGGGGGCTGGGCCGGATATCTTCCCAGGAAAGGGGTGGAGACTTCTCAGAGGAGGTTGGTGGGATATTTTGTGCCTTTATTCTGGCTTTGTGTTTCTGATCATCATGGTATGGGGTGTATTGTTTAGCATGCTAATACATTGCAACAAGTGTATAATGAGTTTATGGGTGACTGTTAAGTGTAATTAGTCACCATGTTAGATGGAGCTGCTCTGTGCCTTTTTTAAGCCATAAATCCAATGAGGGGATTTTCTTACTTTCTGATAGTTCCTGTAGCTTTTATTGATTGCAGCTGTTTTGTCATCTACCCTATCTCATAAGATCCTATGGTCATAATTAAAATTTGAACTATGTAAAAATGGTAAGAAACATTATGTGGACTTATTAATTTTCTTCTGAAAACCAGGAGGAAGAAATTAGATAGGATTAGACGTAGAGTAACCAAAAGGGAGTCTGCAAAATGCCATTTTGTTTGGGCCTCAATCTTGCAACCTAAACCCCAAGAAAAATGAGACAAATCTAAAGGGGCTAGCCTCCCAATTGAGGAAAGACTAAAACTTATCAGTTAGAGAACTGACGAGGTCTCTCCTGGATGGAGATGACAGACTTGGGTGGTTAAGTTATGGGTGGGAGACTGAAATGAAAACTAGAGGTGAGATGCAGTAGGCCAGACCTCACCGAGCTGGCTGCTGAGTGCACTGTAAATTTGTTTTGGAGACTTGCTTTATTGGTCTACTACCTTTATTTTTTTTTAAATGTATTTGATTATGTTTAGGTATGAAATGCTCTTTCATTTTCCATGTTTTCTGCTATTCCCTGCGGTTGTGTACCTTGTCACTTCCTGCTTTTAACTTACCTGGTCCCTGGAGGCATTTAAATTTGTCATTCCTATTTGCAGGTTATGCAATCAAAGCAGATTTTTAAAAACTGAAAAGTTGTTATTCATAAAGGGAGGCTATAGTATGGACTTAGGAATTGTTATCGCAGTTCTTATGAGGGACTAGAAGACATCCAGCTACCACCAGTTACTTTTCCTTAAATGATATTTATTGAGCATTTACTATTGTGTGCTAGACACTAGGGATATAATCAGAAATAAGACAAACATGGGCCACTTGTCTGTGGAGGGGGATATCAAAGCAGTAAACATACAAATATGAAGACTAATACAAATTATTATGGAAAGGAAAGAATAGGATTAGAGAGAAATAGGGAGTCTTCCTTTTTTAAATGGAGAAGTCTCTTTAGGTCTCTCTGAGGCTTTGACATGTTGGTCACACTGAAGGCTGAGTAGGAACCAGCCACATAAAAAGAGGAAGAGAGTGTATTTAAGGTAAAGGGTACAGCAAATGGGAAGGCCTTGAGGCAGAATGAACTTCGTATATTTGAGAAATAGAAGGACCAGTGTGATTGAAATGTGTGAATGAAATGAGGATGGAGAGATGACTAAGGGCAAGTCAAGAAGGGCTTTATAGGCCATTTTAGAAGTTTTGATACTATACTAAAGGGTAATGGGGAACCATTAAAGGAATTTAAGCAAGGTTGGATAAGGATTTTAAGAGGTTACTTGGGCTGCTGTGTGGAACATTGACAATAAGGGTACAAAGTGAAACTGCTGCTGCTGCCCGAGCTGGAGGCGATGGTGGCAGGAGGCAGTGTAAGTAGACAAGCAGATGTGTAGTACCTTCCAAAAGGAAGAAGAATCTTAATGGATAGAATGTGGGTATGAGTAGAAATAAGACTATAGGGAGAACTGTCAATGTTATTAAATGCTTGATAAAAGAATCTCTTGAGCAGAGACTCTTTAGAAATTACACATGGGAGTGTATTCCTAAATACACTCCTATATTCCTAAATTCCTATAGGAAATAGGAATTTACCTATTCCTATTCTTACCTATATTCCTAAAATTGGTAAGCAATCATCAGGGTTCTTGGTTAACCTGGTAGAGTTTCCAGAAGTCATGGACTTGTGCTACTTTTCCTTCCATTTTAGAAGGTGTAGGTTATTGAGAAGGCCACTAGACATGATAGTTCAAACTAGTGGATATGGAACAAAAATTTGTGAAAAGTAGGTAGCATTACTTAAGGAGTCAGTTGACTAGTCTGATGCCTGGAGGTGCTCAGTTCAGTTCAGTAGGTTCTCAGGAAGAAGATGTTGAGGCAGAATTTGAAGTGCTAGATATTTATCCAGGGATCCATATCTGTGAAAGGAAGAAGGAGGAAGCAGGATCAGACAGATGAAAATGTCAATTTCAATGCAGTGTGGGCCAGCCCTGCAGGGAAGTTTAGAATACATATTGCCCATCAGAGTGCCCACATTGGGTCCAAAATACTGGGTCTTTACAATCCCTGCCTTGCTCAGTCATTAGGTACAGGCTGCCCAGCAGTGGTATGCCTTTGGACTCTCTGCAGCTGAGTCCAACGCTGGAGGAGGTGACAGCGGGATGTTGAGTGCTTTTTTAGAAGTGGATGGCATATTCCCAGGTCCACCACAAGTGCAATACTGCTTAATAGAAATAGTGAGTAATTTGGCTAGCTGCTTTATTCTTTCTGTGGTTTCTTTCCTCCCAGGAGCTCGAAGGAAAACATACGTAAGTTTGTTTTTAATCACAAAGTATCAGTCACTATCCAAGAAAGGGGAATTACGAGGTTAGAAATTGGAAGGAGAGATCAAAAAACAGGAAAGAAACAGGGAGAAAAACTAACGGAAGAAAGTTTCTAGAAGCAAGGAGAATCAAATTTTAATAAAATACTAAGATTTATAGCACCCAGTCTTGGGCCTTATTTTAAAAAATACTACAATTAACACATCTTTTGAAGTGTTTTAAAAATCAGATTGTAAAATTTACCTGTCTCTTGTTTCTCTGACAGATGTGGAAAACATGAATAAAAGAGACCGACCATTCATGACAATGCAGAAAAACAATAGCTCAGGTATTTTTTTCTACTTCCAAGTCTGTTTTATGATTTATGGTGGATTATGCATGATATAAAATTGGAATGTTGATTTTTCAAATTTTTAATCATGGATAGCTCATTTTGAGGGGTCACATTGAAGTTTCTTCAGTTTTCATACAATGGAAGTTTTAGTCATCTTCAACAGTGGTTAGGACAACCATGCTTTCCATCACTGTGATTGTCCTAAATCACTTACAGCCTCCTTATAGTCATGTGATCCATGATATATTTAATAAATACTTTTACTCTACATGGCACATTATTCATCTAATTGAAGCAAAGTACAGTTTTTGCTTGAATTAATCAGGTTATTATTCTTTATACTACGTGACCTTAAAGTACCCTCTACTTATGTTTTAGTTTATCAAAATAGCTAATACATTAAACTAAGTATTTGTATGGAGAATGCCTGCCAAACACTTACATCATTTTAGTCTTATTTGGCCCACTGAATTTTTTAGATTTCAGTTTCAACCTTTTCTCAAATTTAATTGAAAATTTTTTTCAGTTTTTTTAAGAAATACAGCTATGACTTTAAAAAATCTATTTACTTAATTTATTTCATTATAATGTGATACTTAAATATGTACAGTTGCTGCTTAACATTTCTTAAATTACAGAAATGGTCACACTTTGTATCTTGACAGCTTAAATGAAAGTATTCTTTCATGCTCTTTTAGTAATAAGTTTATGCAAGTAATATACTGGCAATATAATTTAAGTTTCTATAGACATAGGTTCAATATACTATGAATGTTGTGATATATTACTTCTTATATTTACCTTAAAATATTTAAAAATAAGACCTGTAGTCAGTATGTTGTTCTAACTATATTTTGACTTCCAGTAACATAGTATTATTTCTCTCATTTTCTGTTTTTGGTGAAAAACAGATAATCTGGTATTCCATCTGAAAAATGGAATGAGAAGCATTAAGTATAAGCCAGTAGACTATCAGCAAATGCATGCATTAACTGAAGCAAAAAAATTAGCTGCTGCCTCCACAGAGCTAAAGGTTAGAAGTTGTGTGTGTATGTATGTGTGTTTTCTAGGTTTATAAAATTGAATTGCTAGCAAGTAAAATATTTAAATGTAAATATGAAAATAACATTCTAAATAGTTTTTTGAGTCTTCTAACTATTAATAATAGTGAGCAGCAGTAACATTTATTGAATGCTCTCAGAGTATTGTGTAGCTTACATTCATTACTCACTTAATGTTCATAACAGCCCAAGAGGTCTGGATTCAACTTTATTTTTAGAAAGATTGCTACTTAATTAGCTTTCAACAATTTCTAACTTAGTCTGAAAAATGAAAATTGTGAGTGAATGCTAGCCATGGATTATCATCTGATTTAAGGTCCCTCTGCAACACCATTCAAATATGCCCTCAGGTGCCACTGTTCTAGAATTCCCTTTTTTTGTTGTTGTTGCCATGACCTAGGAAAAGGTGAATCTAAACTGGATTCAAAAGGAGTTTACGTGCAAGTGATTGTGCATTTTAGGATCATTTATGGTTTAGGATTACCATGCAATATGTTTCCTTCTTGTGTAAAATAATAGAGTACACTATAAATAGCATTACCTTATAAATTGCTTGGTTGCATTAAAAATCTGGTTTGGCAAAGCAACATATTAAGTAATTTACAAGTCTTCATTTATATTTAGTATTTTTGTGTTACATTAGTTTTGCATGGCTTTTTATTAAGATCCTTTTTAAAAAGGCAGCTGTTATGAATCCAAAGTACAGCTGATATCCTATTCTAGAGACACTATCATATATCCATGAGTTATATTCCTTCTAACTAAGAGCACCACTTAAAAAGTAGGGCATTATTTGTTTGGTTCAGATATAACTTTAAGATAATTTAATGTTATCATGATATTCAAAGAAATTTTATGAGAAAATTACTCATAAACTGTCATCCTAATAAAACTATTTTCATATTTCTGATTTTTGTTCTGAGCCATTGTATATATACAACATATACAGATACATATATAAAAACATACACATACATATTTGATTTTTTCCATGGTAAACATAGACATAAATCCTATATAGATTTTCCCCTAATATTTTACTATATAATCTTGAAAATATTTAATTATTATATGATATTTAATCACTTAAGGAAATATTTTTAACTATTTTTTATTGTTGTTCAAGTATAATTGTCTCCATTTTCCCCCACCCCAGCCATCCCTACTTTCCACCCTTGACCCTACTTAAGTAAATAAATAATTATCATGTGCCTCAAAGATACAGTGAGGAACAAAATATAGCTCCTACCACCATGGAATGTACTGTTTGCAGAAAAGGGGAGGAAGGAAGTCAGTGTTTCTCAAATAAGCCCCCAAATAAAAATACTTTAAGTATATACTCCAATAAATACATGCTGTCTGGTATATAATAACAAGACTTGATTCCAATCAGGTAGGAAGGCTTTTCTGAGGGAGTAACAGGAATTGGGATCTCATGGCCAATAAAAATGAATTGAGCAAAAACAGGATTGAATAGCACTCCAAATAGAAAAGGATACATGCTTTATCACAGCAGTCCCCAGCCTCTGGGCCTGTTAGGAACCCAGACACACAGTAGGAAGTGAGCTTGAATGTAATTCAGATGAATCATCCCTAAACCATCCCCCACCCCAGTCCATGGAAACATTGTCCTCCAGGAAACCTGTCCCTGGTGCCAAAAAGGTTGGGGACCACTGCCTTATCACATCTCAATTTGGGGATATTTGGATTAAAACCAATCTTATATAGGAAGTTATACTTCAGTAAACGTCTTAATGCATGGACACCTTTCATGATTTAGAATCTACCCCCATAGGATAAATTCCTATGACTGGAATGTTTGAGCAAAAAAGTATGAATGTTTTTTAGCTCTTTCCCAAAGTATTGTTCTAATAAAGATGCCTCCACAAACATTTTTCTCTATACCCTTGTCAGGACTGGAACATGAATATATATATATATTCATATATACATGTAAAATACATATTCCTAATATTATCCTGTTATCCATGTGTTTCTTTTGCATCCCTTTTTATCTGTCCATTCATCCATCCACCATGCACCCAAAATACTACCATTTTGGCTGAACGTGGAATGGTTGAGTGTTAAAATCAGTATTTTTACAAAGTGAATTTCTCCTTGATAACAGAATGAGTATCAAAGAAAAAAATATTTAAAAATTTTAATAGTTAATGAGGTCTTTAAAGTTTAACCTTAAGTGCAGGGACAATAATTTCTCATCATTGTCCACTTCTAGATTACTTCTCTCATCATTTTCAAACACTTCTTCTTTTCTTTATACAGTTTTCATTTTTTATTATATTTGAATTAAGGAAGATAAATTGGGAATGTTGTTCTATATGCTTTGTGTAGTCTTCCCTTCTTGCTTAATTTAGAGATAGGAAGTTGACATTTTGTTTTTAATTCACTCTTGTAAGACTTGAACAATTCCCAGTTATAACTTATTTTTTGAAACACTCAGGGTTTAAGTAAAATTAGAGAACTGGAAATTAAAGTTTATTTTGTTTAATGTTTTGAATGCTAATATATCAAATGGTCGACACAAATTAGAATTATAAAATAATATCATCTCTGTTATTCATATATCATTATTTGAATTTTTATACAATATGTTTGCTCAAGAATAATATTTTATTCTTCTAAAAGTTACATAGTAAATATATTCTCCCTTAATATTTGCATTAATTATCAATCTATTTCCTTATTTTACTAATTAAATGTGCTCATATTTTTACACATGAAATTAGAAACTTTAAAATCATTGTTAACTGTCTACAGTACTTTGGCAATATTAAATGTAAATGTACTTAAAACTGAGTGATAAAATGTTAACATTTAAAGCACATAAGTAGATTTTTGCTTCAAGTTATGTCTAGATAACATAGGCAGGAAAATTTCAGGTATTTCATGGAGCAATATTTTCAGTGATATGGGCCCTAGAGAAAGGGACATAAAGGAAAGAATAAACAAAGGAGACGTCATCAAAATAAAAAGCTTCTGCCCAGCTAAAGAAGACAGCATTAAAATGAAAAGAGAAAGAACTGACTGTATGGGAAAACATATTTGCCAATGATACCTCAGACAAGGGTTTGATATCCAAAATATATAAAGAACTCACACAACTCCACTCTAAGAAGACAGGCAACCCAAATAAAAAATGAACATAGGACTTGAACAGACATTTCTCCAAGGAGGACACATAGAGGGCCCAGAGATATATGAAAAGATACTCAGTATCACTAGCATAAGAGAGATGCAAATTAAAACCACAAGGAGATACCACTTCACACTGGTCAGAATGGCCATCATGAGCAAAGCAACAAACAACAAGTGTTAGAGAGGTTGTGGAGAAAAGGGAACCCTAGTGCACTGTTGGTGGGATTGCAGACTGGCTCAACCACTATGGAAATCAGTATGTAATTTCCTCAGAAAACTAAAAATGGAACTGCTTTTTGACCCAGCATTTCCATTGCTTGTATTACATCCTAAGATTTTTGAAACACCAATCTAAAAGAACCTTTGCACTCCAATGTTCATAGTAGTATAATTTACAATAGCCAAGTGCTGGAAACAACCTAAGTGCCCATCAGTAAATGACTGGATCAAAATCTATGGTACATTTACACAATGGAATACTATACAGCAGAAAGAAAGAAGGAACTCCTTCCCTTTTACGACAGCATGGATGGAACTGGAGAATATTATGCTAAGTGAGATAAGCCAGGCAGTTAAAGACAAATACCATATGATCTCACCTTTAACAGGAACCTAATCAACAAAATGAACAAGCAAGCAAAATATAACCACAGACACCAAAATTGAGAACAGGCTGACAGTGGCCAAATGGTAGAGGGGAGGGGATAATGGGGGGAAAGGGTGAAAGGTTTATAGGAACAATTACAAAGGACACATGGACAATAACAAGGGGGTGGAAATAGGAGAACAAGGTTGGGTGGACTGGAATGTGGGGAGGGTGGGGCAAAAGGCAGAAAATTGTACTTGGACAATAATAAAAAAAGCAGAAACTAAGAGGGAAAGATAGGACAACTGATGAATATGAGTTTAGCCTTAATTGTTGGGCTTATGTGTGTAAAACTGTGACTGGATAGGATTCAGTATCTGCTCTTGAAATTTTTGCTTCAAAAAAAATGTTATATCTAGAATACTTAACTATATTTTTTAAAATTAACAAAAATTTGTTAATTAGCAATAAATTCAAAAGACTTGCCTGATTTGTATTGCTGGTATCTTTTTACTGAGTAGATGTGATAGTCACCTATATAATCCCTGTGTCAGTGATCATGCACAAGTTCTAGAATGCCAGATGATACACGGATGTGGACATTAAGTGATCTAGTCTTTCAAAGACTGAGATTGAACCTGAAGCCAGATAGTAGATTCAGGCTGAAAACTGAGACAAACATCTTTTATCCTCACTTCAGGACATGCTCATTGATTTCAGAGAGAGGGGAAAAGATGGAGAAAAACATCAGTGTGAGAAAGAGACATTGATTGATTACTTCTTGTATACATCCCAAGTGAGGATCGAATGAATCTGCAACCTAGGAAAGTGCCTTGACCAAGAATTGAACCCATGACCTTTTAGTTTATGGGATGATGCTCCAACCAACTGAGCCACACTGGCCAGGGTGAGACCAGTTTTTGATACATTATATGTTAACTGTTTATTCTCACTTTAAGTATAAAAAAAGTCTTCACAGTTACTTTTAATTGAATTTCTTTGCTTAGAAGAATGAATGTTTGTTCTTGTCCAACTCAAGTATCTATCTACAATTTCTGTTTTTAAAATGTTATATTATGGAAAATTGTGAGCATATGTAAAATTAGAGTGAATGGTACCATTAATCTCCATGTAACATTATCTAGTTTCAACAATGATTAACTCTTAGCTATTATTTCTTCTACATTCCCACCCACAATTTCCCCTTGTGACAGATTATCACGAGGCAAAATCTCAGACATAGTAATACTTGACCATAAATATTTTAGCATGTATCTCTAAAATAATTAGGGGGGAAAAAACTAAACCTTATCACAGCATTGTCATTGAAAATGTTAAAAATTTCTTAATAATTTCAAATGTCCAGTCAATTTTATGTTTCCCTGATTTTCTCCAATTTTTCTTAAAATTTATTTAAATCAATATCTAAACAAAATCCATATATTGCAATTTATTTTTATTTTTCTACTCACTCCTCTTGTGTTCTTGTAATTTATTTCTTGACAAAGTTTTATTGTTTGGCTTTTATAGTTTCTTACAGTTTGGATTTTGCTGATTACATCCTGGTGGTGTCATTTAACATGTTTTTCTGTCTCTTGTATTTCCAGTAAATTGATAGTTTTATCTAGAGACTTGATCAGATTCAGGTTCAATTTATTTTGGCAAGAATACTTATTGATGGAATTTTTGTGCTCTAGTTTCTTTCTATTACAAATAGTGCTGCATTGAATAGCTTTGTTCATTTATCTTTTTATGCATTTGCTATTACGGTTTTCAGAGAGATTCCTGTAAATAAAGGTAAACTCATATGAAATTGTGCTATACATCTCCAAATGTCCTTCTGATGGGGGAGGGGATTTGTTGCATCATTTTGTATTTCTATTGGCAACTTGAGAGAGATCATATTTTCCCATAGCTTCAAAGAGAGTTTTGTTAAACATTTGCATATTTGCCAACCTGATAGATGACAAATTACAACTTAATGATTGTAGGTTTTGCTTTTGATTTATTTAACAGTTCTTTATTGAGGTACAACTCACATATAATAAAGTGCACAAATCTTAAATATACATCTCAATAAATTTTGACAGATATGCACATGTAACCAACACTTAAATAGTCCCCTAGTGACTGCTGTTTCTTTCTGAAGGTGGACATCTGGCCCAACAGGCTGTTATGGCATTTCAGGGAGCCTGTTTAACTTTTATTAGCTTAGGTCATCACAATAAAGCACATAAGAAACTCTAATTTCTGGTTCTTTTATGAATTTACTATTTTTGTTATTTTAAATTCATCAGAATTCTGCATACATCATCATCTACCTTAAATATTGATTTCATGTGGCTCATTGTCCTGCAAAATGAACTGGAATCACCTAGAAATCTCTATATTGACAAAGATACAACTTTAAAACTTTTTGTTTCTTTAAGACTTTTTCTTTATTTTTGGCCTGAGGACAGAAATGAAGTTAATGAGTAAATTTACAAAAAAATTAGATTTCTGTAAAATATTGGAAGTGTCTAGTGAAAAATAGTGACTTTATTTTGACTGTTATAGTCTACTTAATTGGTCTTTCTTTAGGCCCAAAGGCAGCAGCATTGATTTTTTTTAGCTATAAAAATGTGTCTACATTTTTAACAATGTGTTTTTTTGTACAACACGGACCAAATATGTCAAAGAAATATAATTTTAAAAGTTTTGTCTGTTGTAACAAACTTTAGAGGCTATAGATGACAAATAGTTGGAATGAGTTTTAGGTATTCTGGAAGCAAACACCAGAGTGTCAGTTTTTAGAAACATTATGCATTTTATTTTTTTGGTAGGTGAAATAGACATTCTGAATGTCTTCTGGTGGTGCCTTGTTGTTGTTTGAATGAACTTTTCTTTTAGATTTCATGATTGCAGCACTCTTAAGACCTTCTTAAAAAAGATTTGACTTTGACTTTGTGTTTTTTTAAGTAATGTTGGGGTTATTTTGTTTTCTTATAGGCCTAATTTTGAATCAGTAGCCATTATAGCAGCAAGATAAAGTCAAGGTTAAAGTAATCAGTGAAAGCTAGAGATAGCATGCATTATGAAGAGTCTTTTTAGGACTTGTCGTCTGAAGTGTTTATATCTTCAGTATTGATCTGTTAAAGCTTTCAGGCTACTAAGTGTTCTAGTAGCAGAGAAGATGTAAGATATGCATATTTCACCAAGTTTCTGATTTGAATAGCACTTTTGTAGATGTTTAAAATCTAGTAGGGAGTACACGAGTTGAGCATAAACATGAGTGTCAGAGTCTAACCTGGAAACAGACACTGCTTGAGGAGGTTTTTAATGAGTAGAAGGGCCTTTAATTCAGGAAACGGTTACACAGGTGATAGAGGTGAACAGCCAAACAGGACTGTGAAGCAATACAGGGATTAACACAGCAAGAAATCATGCCATGCCTAAGTCAAAGGGATATTTAGAAAAAGCAAGGTTTGTACTCCATCTCATGGGCCAAGGTTATCCAGAAATAGTTGGAACCACAGTAAACTGTCAAGAAAAAGTGGAGCAAATGGAGAAGATGCAGATGGTCCCTGAGAACCCTCTGAGAGTAGAGAGGGCAACAGGAGTAATCCTTTGGCTTCTCCTTTCCTCCTTCCCTTCAATCTCCCACTGCTATTGTCTCCCTTCAGCTGAGCCAACCAGAAGGCAGCTGACAGAAGTGATTGAGACACCTAGGCTGCTGTGTGATAGGGAGCAGATTGGGGAGATGGCCAAGAATGGGTCCGTCAGCAAACAAACCCAAGCCTGACAGACCTTGTCAACAGAAATCCCAAAGCACTAATTATATGCTATGTTTTTAAGTCATAAAATTTGGGGAGAATTTCAATTTTAAAAATTGGGGTTTTAATGTATATGATTTTTAATGATTGCTTTAAATACCTTCAAATAAATATTTGTCTAAATTAAAAAAAATTATTTACAAAGTCATGGAGTTGAACAATTAAAATGGCCTGTTCAAGGTCATATGGCCAGGCCTCCTAACAACTTATCCAATGACTTTTTCCATCCTATGCTGAAGAATCAGATACAAGCCAATTCATACATGAAGGTTCTATGTATTCTGATGTTTATGAGCTTTATGATCTTGATCAACTCTTCTAATTTCTCTGAACATCAGTGTCTTCAGCTGTGAAATGGGAATAATGATGCTCATGATGCCTGGCAGGGAAATATGTCAAAAGGTGAGAAAATACATGGAAACTATTCCTGGGACTTTATGAATTAAAGTGTTATTTATTCTATGTATGGAAAAATAGAATCACTTCACCTTTTGTTTTTCATAAATGCTTTATACATCGTTCTTAAATTGGTCAATATTCCAAACCATCTTCTCTTTCACCTCCCTGGTTTTTGTTGAACATACCGCTTATTTTAAGCAGAATTTTGTGTTAGAAGATGCACTAATAGGATTGAAAAAGATTAAGTATTTAATGCAGAAAATACAGATTAAACATTTCCATTGTGGAAACACATTTTAAGAAACATTGAAATGGCTCGTCTTTTGTTTCACTAAATCTAGATCAGAAAAGCAGTGCAGACTTCAAAGGCATCTAAGGAACAAACACTGATAAAACAGCACAGACAGGTGTGGTGGCAGGAACACCAGAGGCTGAATGAAGTCAGGTAAGGACTGAGGGAAATCTCAGCAAGTACACAGAGGAATTTCTAAGTCTTGCACTTACTTAGTTAAATGTTCTATAGCTTTCCATGTTGATTAAACTACTGTAATCAAAATTAAAAGTTACAATTTGTGAGTCAAGTTAAAATAATTTTATTTCCTTAGTTTAATTTGGAATTCAGTGAATATGTTAATATGGCTTTTGCTTTCCTTAGGGAAAAATGTAGTCTTTATCTGCTAAGCACGTACTCTTTTACACTTCCAGTCTTAATTACTTACATTATACTTAGCCCTTTGGATTATGATACTTTGTTTACCTATTTGTCTTCCCTATAAAGTGGTAAACAGGGCAAGCATCCCATCATATTCATTTTTAGGTCACAAAATTTGGGGAGTCATTTTTTACTGTAGGATACATAGCAGTAGATATATAAATGGTTTCAATAAAAAATTAACAAATGGACTAAGGGACTCAACATACTAGTCAGTGATTTTTAGAGGTATTATATTTGGATTTTTGATTTTTGTTATTATTTTCAGCATTCACTTCAAGGTGAATTCAAACAAAATAATGATTCTGTACTTGATCTGGACTGTAACCTTTTAAAAATAAATTTTTTAGCCCTGACTGGTGTAGCTCAGTGGATTGAGCGTGGGCTGGGAACCAAAGTGTCCCAGGTTCAATTCCCAGCCAGGGTACATTCCTGGGTTGCAGGCCATAGCCCCCAGCAACCACACATTGATGTCTCTCTCTCTCTCTCTCTATCTCCCTCCCTTCCCTCTCTAAAAATAAATAAATAAAATATTAAAAAATAAATAAATTTTTTCCCAAAGGATAAGGCAAAAAGAGAAGGCACATGTTTTTCCCTTCCATTTGAGGCATATATACTATTTATAATGATGCTGGTATTTGTAAAGAAGTGTATATTTTATATCAAAATATATAAATTTTGTGATCTTAGTCTAAGTCAAAATATCCAAATACCATTAACTTTACTTTTGACAATTTTCTTATTAATAAGAGGTTTTTATTTTGGCAAGATATTCCTGTGTGAAGTAAAAGGCTCATGGTTGGAAATGATTTTACATCATTATATAATTTTAGACTTTGTCACTATGTTGCTCCTATCTTATAAGACTCATTCCTCATAACATCACCTTTCATGGGGAGAACATTTGGGCTTATTAGAAATTTTTTTGAGAACTTGCATAACTTGACACATGACAAAAAGGAGAGCCATTATGAGGTTTTAATATGGTGCTTGGTGATGGAAGCTCAAATGTAAAGGAAGGCACTGGTGAAAGTTTTTATCTAGGCTGGTTCATGTTCTTCTTAATGTGTTGTTTTTGAGCTAGATAGAAGAGGCATATATGTGTTGTTATGGAAAATAATCCTTTTTTTTTACTTGGAATGACACAAAGATTATGGAAGTGAGGAACACTCAAGTAATAACAAACTTAATGTCTTGAAACTTTTAAGGGCTGAAAACTGGACAAAAGGAAATCCAAGAAAATTTTCTTTGTTATTCTAGAAAGTAAGCTAATTTCAATAAGTGTTCAGTGAAATTGAAAAATACTAGCAAAAGTGCCCTAGCTGGTGTGGCTCAGTGAATTGAGTGCTGGCCTGAGAAACAAAAAGTCATTTGTTCGATTTCTTGTCAGGGTGCATGCCTGGGTTGAGGGCCAGGTCCCCAGTGGGGAGTATGCAAGAGGTAACTGATTCATGTTTCTCTTGTTTATCATCGATGTTTCTCTCCCTTTCTTTCTCCCTCCCTTTCCCTCTCCCTAAAAATAAATAACTAAGTAAATAAAATCTTTAAAAAAGTAATAGCAAAGGAGGAAAGTTAGAATGTGCTAGACTTGTGGAGAATTTAGGGACCACCAGAAAATCGGGAGTTTTAAGTCTATCAGTGTTTCTCAACCTTTAAAAATCTGTTTTCTTTTAACAAAAAATTAAAAGTAAAATGTTCTTATGCTACATCATAAGAGACTTCATTTGAGAATCTTAGGCCTTCAGAATTACCTTTCAGGCCTACAATGCCATCTAACCTTTGGGGATGTGATTCAATATGTGCTGAGTAATATGTTAAGTAATTTTTTTTCACTTACTCCTTAGAATGTCCCTGCAAAGTAGGTATCAATACGATCTTCATTTTACAGATGAAGATCTTGAGGTTCAAAGGATTAAAGTTATTTGCAGAAGTCAAATCAGCTGGTTTATTTGAAGGTGGTGTTGGAACAGTTGTGTTTAACTCCAGCGCTCCATGTACTTGGAGTTGAGCAGCTTTTTTTCCCCCACAGAGTTCCATTCACAACTCACCTAATTGGTCTAGCCTTGCTAGAAAAAAAGATTTTGCCAAACTTTAAATCTTTGAAATCTGAACTGAGGAAACTAGTCACATAAAGTTTCTAAAAGTAAAAATAATATTTTATATTTAAATTTATAACATTATATTTAATAATTAATGTTTTCTCAAACTACAGCTCTTGGAGGCATTGATACGCTTTCCTAGAGTATATTGCTCCCTTGTTTCAGAATGACTGGTTTAGAGGTTTAGAAGGAAGTTAGTTATATTGGCCATGCAGATTGGCCATAAAGAGTTGCAATTTTTATTTAAAATAAATGACTATGTTACTGGCTTATGTATTCACAGTACAATACTTTTCTGTCCTCACCTGAGGACATGCTTTTTGATTTTAGAGAGAGTAAAAGAGAAAGAGAGGGAGAGAAACGTAGATGTGGCTATTGCTTCTTGCATGCGCCCTGACTGGGACCTAACCCACAACCCAGGCGTGTGACCTGGAATCAAACTGAAAACCTTTTGCTTTGGCAGACAATGACCAACCAGCTGAGCCACACTGGTCAGGGCTCTACAAAGGATATTTTTATAACCAAATATCTGTTAGAAATGTATGTAGTCTCTTGCTCACAATTTCTCTTTAAAAGCATTAAAAGTATCACCTTTACACGGAGGATATCATGGGGTTTTACTAACAATTAAATGCTGTCTGGAAATGCATCTTTAAAAGATGACATTTCGACCAATCGCTATTCATACCATGTAACTCAGGGTACCTGAGAGCTCTCTTTGAGCCCAGCTCCTGAGCCCACTGTTAGAACTCAAAAACACCCTTCACCAGGCTGGTTTATTTTGTAGGTGGTTGCATTGCAAGTGGGCATATCTAGGAAATAATTAATATATCATCAAGGCAAATGGTCACACAAAAACTCAAGAGGGTTTTTTGTATTACTGTCGTAGTCGGTGGTACCAGAGGAAAGGCCAAATAGCATTAGGAGGCACCTAAACTGACAGATTTGGACATGAAAAGTTGCCTAACATTTATCAGTCCCCTCTTCAGACGTGGAGGAAGGAGGCTGCATGTACTGCAGAGTTGCAACTTGGTGAATGCCTGGGTCCTAGTCTGGCACATCAGTGATGAACCGGGTGGGGTTCTCTTCTCTAGAGTTACCGTTTTTAATGTCCTTGTGGTCATTACAAATTTTTATCTATATCTCCTAATTCATATTGTACAAAACAGAAATATTCTTTATGATACTCTGGAGAATAATGAATTTAATAGTCCTGTATATTAAGAAAATACTTTATATTTCATTCCCTTTTTGGATAACCTCAATGCACATCAGCATAGTCAGGTTTCTGGGAAATCGTGCACTGTAGAAATGTGTCTGGTTTTGTTTAGTTCACCATTTTCCATTTTTCCTAACATCCCATACCATTCCTGTTTTATAGACCATGACTTGGGAAATGTTAGCCTGCATTCAAAGCTAGTTCCAGATTCCGGTAGTTCTTGAGGGCATAAAAACTGCTTCTGGATTTTGTTGGGTACTCAGGACAAGTAGAAAAATGGGCTGGTCTTGTCTGATGGCTCGGGGTTATTAATCTCTGAAGCCAGGATGGAGCTTACTAGAATTATACATGCAAAGTAGCCAGTCGATCTCCTATATGAACAAATCCACTACTGTTGGTTTGGATGTTCCACTATGGCTTTCTGGGTGCTGAAAATATAAGGGAACTAAGCTAGCTGGTTTATAAATGCTGTGTTTGTTGAAACAAATCCATTATGAAACAATATCTGGATTTATTCCATTATTATGTACCCACCTTTCATTTAACAGTTTCCAACATAATCTTAAAGATACTTCTGGCAAAAGCTACATGCTGGAAAAATATGGAGTGAAGAGTCATCTGCAGTAGCACCCCTTTTTACACAAAACCCTCTGTCCCATGCAGGTGACTTAGCTTAAAAGATGATGGCACATATATAAACTAGAATATATGCAGCCATTAATTAAACAACTATGAAAATTATTTTAAAATGTCTTTAACATATTATTCAAAAACCTTTATAAAGTGGTAAATATGACATAATTACAACTATTTAAAATATATATGCATATAGACAACAGCTAGAAACTTATATGCAAAAATAATCAGTGTTAAAGTGTTATAATTGTTCCCATTTTTTATTTTATGCCACTTTTAATGTTGTATTTTTATAATAATAATAAATCAAAACTAGTTTCTATGATTTCATTAAATCTTCCATAAACAAAGGAGAGACTACATATTTTTTGAAAAGTTTATTTATTTATTTTTAGAGAAAAGGTAAGGGAAGGAGAGAGAGAGGGAGAGAAACATCAATGTGTGGTTGCCTCTCCCGCTCCCCCAACTGGGGATCTGGCCCACAACCCGGGCATGTGCCTGACTGGGAATCCAACTGGTGACCTTTTGGTTTGTGGGACAATGTCCAGCCCACTGGGCCACACCAGTCAGGGCGACTACAATATTTTTAAACATCCTTTTAAAGCTGGTTATGTTTTTACTTTATAATGACTATATATAAATAATACAGTGAAAGATCATTAAGACTTATTACTTGTATTAGTATATAAAAATAAAATATACGTTTACCCTTATTTTGGCAGTTCAAGAGCTCCGCTTCTCTTAACTTTTAAAGTAACCCTTTTGTTGGTGCAGATTTGCTTGACCCCCTCCTGTTCATCTTCCATTTGTATTGATCACTCCTCTTTCTAGCCTGTCCTTCATTTTGCCTTGGAAATGTTTTTCAAACACAGATCTGCTAAGCAGGTGAGGCCAATTTAATATCCCTTGGTGGCTTCTCAGTGCCCTGAGCTCTCTCTATAGAAGTAGTGCAAGGGCATGTCACATGTTTGCCTTTGTCTCACTGTTACTTCTGCCCAGGACATTCACATATGCTTCTTTCCCTTGTAGAACACTTGATCTTGTCTGAAATATCCACAGAGATGTCTGGTCCATGCCTTGATATTTGCCCTGTGCAAAACATGCATAGTTAATATAAATTCTGCTCTTTTGCAAGATTCCAACCTGAAACCATCTACCTAACCCCATTTGCCAATACCAGGTAGTCTACTGAGGCAAGAAAGGTTATTACTGGCAGTATAGCCACAAGGCAATTATTGGACCAATAAAACATTATAGTATTTTTTTATGTATTAATCCTATAAACCAAAAGTAGAAATAAACATTATCAGTTATCTGAACCCAAGGACATTTCCTAAGAATGAATATTGTTTCCAACCAACTGAGCCACCGGCCAGGGCAAGCATGGACATTTTTGACAGAATCAAGGACCATTTGGCACGGACCAAATACGCTTGTGGATGTTTTGGATAGACCAAATATCATTGGTATGGACCGACTGTCCACTGATTGTGTCTGGCAAATACCCAATCTATGTTAGGAATTTAGTATGTAGTCTGAATAAATAAACTGGTGAATAAAACCACATCAGATTAAATGTCTACTACTAGTTTTTTTTAACTTATATATGTTTATGGTTATAAAAATTGAGTTAATGTCTATTTCAGGGGTAAAGTGGAATCTGAAATAAAATCTTTTCTCAATGAAGAGAACCTTGGAAATGAATGTCTTTCTGACCTTAGGAATTTTGGTGAGATTTTTTTGATCCTATATTTAATGGGGTGTTTTGAAGATGAAAGTGGGCCACTCACTTCATGTTTGTTTAATATTAACTGCAGTTTGTTTTTCTCTAAAGGAAATCAAAAATAAATCTGTACTCTAAGAATCTGTTCTCTTTTTTTTTCCCAAGATTTATTCATTTTTAGAGAGAGGATAAGGGAAGGAAAAAGAGAGGGAGAGAAACATCAACGTGTGGTTGCATCTCATGAACCCCATATTGAGTGAGGCCCTGGCCTGCAACCCAGGCATGTTCCCTGACTGGGAATTGAACCAGCGACCCTTTGGTTCACAGGCCCATGCTCAATCCACCGAGCTACACCAGCAAGGGCTTAAGAACCTGTTCTTGAAAAAATCTTAAAATAATGTGTTATCTTGATTTAATTTTGCTTCACCATAGAACAAGAGTTATCAGAAAAATGGTGCATATATCTTAAAAATGTAATAAATCCTCTTCAGCAATTGAGAGAAGATCTAAAATACAGACAGTATCACAGTCCACAGCATTCATACTCACATACTGAGTTTAACTCAGTGAAAGTACTAGAAGAGGTCAGTATATTATCTTTATTTTTAATAGTATAATATTTTGTTTTTGTCCCAACTAGAACAGTTTGAGATAAGAAATCAGCATGGGTATCTTGTGTATTTTAATAGAAGGTATAGCAAATTCTGTTTATTCATTATCATAAACATTCTTGAATCTGCCGAAGCATGCTCATTTTGTAATTGGAATGTTACATTGGCCTCATAACTAACCTCTGTGCTTTCATTCTTGCCCCTCCTCCCATTGCATTCTGGGATCTACCTTCAGTGCAGAGGGATCAAGTCATCCCCCTGGTAAATCCCCTTAGGGCTCCTTCTGGCCCATGTCTTTCTCTTCTCTGCTTCTTTAGTCTCATCTCCTACCTGACACCTCTTTTCCTCCTAGACCTTGTCACAGCTCTGGCCTTCTTTCTATTTCTCCTCACATATACCAGGCTCCATTCTGTCTGAAAACCTTTGCGCCAGCTGTCTCCTCTGTCCCGCTGAGAACATTTTTTGTCCTTTAGGTCTTTGCTTAAACTTCCTCTCCTCTGAGTGGCCTGTCCTGTTCACTGGAGAGAAGCCACACTATCTCACTATTACCTTACCATGTTTTTACATTACTTACCTCCTACTGATACGTTCTTAGCTATTTTTGATTAGTTTATTGACAGTCTCCCCTAGCTGCAGCATAAACTCCATGTTTATAGTTGTACTAGATGTAGGCTTTTAGGTGTTTTTCTTCAGTTATCTGTAGTGTTGTTATATTGCTTTCATAAATAATAATTTTTTAAAAATATTAAAAATCCCATGCCTAGCTGGGGATTAGAGGCAAGGATGCAAGGGAAGAAAAGGGTGATTGAAACAGACACTCTGAAAAGCTCTCTGCCTTACCACGAACAAAATCAAAACATGGGTGCAGAGTGGCGAGGACCCCACTGTACTTCCCAGTTCAGTTTTGACTTATGTGTCTGGAAGCCTTCCCCACTCCGCCCATAAGCACTGCCTAGCTATGGCATTTCTTGAATCTCCTTCCACATGTCCTCAAAGGGACTTTCTCTTATCTAATTTTTCATCACTTACTGGCTTTTGAGATTAATTCCATGCATTTAAATATACACATTGAGAAAATAGCCATAATTTGCTTGCTACTGTTCTAAATGTTTCTATAGGTTGACTTTGTGAAGAAACAATTAAAAGCTGTCTTTGAAGAACTTAGCCTGGAGCAACAGAAATTCGAAAATGATCTTTCAGACTTGAGTATTAAAGTAAGTGCAATGTAGATAGCCATTTGTTTACCAGTTTGTCATTTGTGTTAAATAAAATAACCATAATTTTTTTTCAGATACTAGATCATTATTCAGAAGAAAGGAGTAACTTGCTTAGTGAATTGCCCCCAGAATTGGAAGCTTTGGAATGTCCATACCCTGATTTGAAATCTTCCATTTTTAAGGAGTTCTGTAACTTTACAGAGAAATATCAAAAGAAACTTCATGAATTTGATCTGCAGTTAGAAGATATATACAGGTAATAAGATAAAACTACTTGGATTATGTAGATTTTTGCCCCTACAATTTTATTTTTCTGGGAAGTTACTATACTTCTGATTTACCATTTTCAGAGTTACTGTGTGGTTGGAATATAGCCAATCAATAAATGTTTAGATCAATTATTTGTTGAGTGAAAAGGATTTTTCCCTGCAAAATAATTTCCCTGAAATAATGATTTTAAAGTTTTTATGATGTTGAAATATGTTGAAAATAGCCTTTTCATTGAACTCTTTACTACACAGGTAAAAAATCATTTTTTAAACATGAAATTTCAGTAACTATGAATTTTCATTTCAAGACATGACTCTCCTTTTCAGTAGATACTCCCAGATTAGTAGTAATCATTGGCCACAATGAAAAAATGTAGCCATGGAATTAGGTTATTTGTAGTCCACCGTGATTTTGTCTTATGGTGAACATAAAGTATACTTTGTAAATTTTTAAAAACATGCTGCATTTTTTTAAAAAAGTGTACTTTTGGTTGTATCCTGGGAATGATAATCCTCTTTTGAGTGACAAATGTTCTGTTAAATGATTTAAAATTCAGGAGAATGATCTTTCCTTCCAGATGACATTTTGTTCCCTTAGCAGAGGTGGCTAAGATTGTGGACTTTCTAGGTTAGCAGCTCCTAAACCCGTAGTAGTTTGCCTTATCAGCCTGTAATGCCTCCCTCCAACAAGATCTATCCTTCACAATCCATTTTCCTACCTCCCTTTTAATCTGAACTCAATTTCTGCTCCTCCTTTGAACAACCCAGTAGCACTTAGAAGAAGTTAAGATTTCATAGCTCCATTGATATGACTGAAGATTAATTGAAACTAAGATGAATATGCATCACATGCTAAGGGAAGAAACAAGGATTAGAATAAGAGAGAGAGGGAATAGGGAGGACGTTCCAAGAACAGATATTAAATGATGGCTGTAGATTCCTTGAAGACAAAGTAATTTATTAATATTTGTATCCTCAGCACCTAGCATATCTGGGCACATAGCAGCTTTTAAATAAAGGATTGTTCAACTGAGTTAAAGATGAAAACAATGAAAGTGAGAGTGACAAGGCATGTTATGGGGTCAGCAGGAATCTACTTTGGTGGATTATATGTTCACAAATCCTTGTTTAATAGTGTGCTTGCCATATATAATTATAAGAATAAATTTTATAAAACTAATGATATGGTTTACTTGGTGAATATTTATTGGGTAATCCTTAATACACAAGGATCTCTGCTAAGCTTCTTAATAGGGGGATCAACAGACTGACTAGATAGACTATGACTTTGCCTTTAAGAAGGCTTGGAATGTTTAGAAGATTAGGATTCACATGTATCCTAATCAAATACATATTACATGCACACATCAAGCAAGAGATTACTTTATAAATATGCTGGCAGTAAATGATAAAGCATCATGAAAAGTGAATGAGGTTTCAGGAGTAGCTTCATTATAGAGAAGAGAGGAAATGGGTTATTTTGAATTCATACAGAGGTGGTGGGCAATCTGGCTGATGGGCAGTAAGGCATGGACATACACTGTTCTAAACAGCAAATGAATATGTTCAACTATTGTATTAACTAGACTTCTAGTTTGCCCAGTATAATGCCGTTATTTTGATACATCCATTTCCTCTTTTGGTTGCAGTTATTAGCCTTTGGAAGAAAAAATACACACAGACTGTGCACATGTATGTGCACACCTGTATCAGTAAGTTTGTGCATATTTTAAACAAATGTGTACTACTATGACCTAAGAGTATTAAAATGTCTGGGAGATAGTTTTAAGTTATAAGTTTTGATTGGGCTAAAGGCAGTGGACACGATGGTTAATCCAAACATTTATTTTAAATGTTGCTGGTTTGGCTTGGAATGACTCCATCCCCAGATCCAAAGGTAGGTCCTGGTGGGATTGTGTACCAGTCAGTAGCCACATTTCCTCAGGCCACAGCTACTAGCTCATGGTGGCCCAAATCAGGACAAAGGTCAGAATTTGTTAGATACTTGTAAGGAATAGTGCCTTTTCTTCTTTGTGGGTGTATCAAGAAAGTACATAGTTGAGGTTGCTGCTGGCAGCCATCATGTAAATGAAGGAAAACAGTAGAGCAGGAGAGGACAGAGCCCAAATAATCATGGGGAACTGGAGCCTTCTTTGAACTGTGTGGAAAGCTGACAAATATTAAGTAATCTTGGAGCGGAAAGGCCTTTTAACATGTTAGCAGCAGTGAAATCATAAAGAAAAAGTTTGCCATGTATCCAGAGTAGTTGAAAACTTATGTCTACACAACAATCTGCACATAGATGTTCATAGCCACTTTATTAATTATTGCAAAACTTAGAAGCAACCAAGATGTTCTTCAGTACGTGAATGGGTGAATAAACTGTGTTGCATCCAAATAATAGAATATTACTATTCAACATTAAAAAAAATGATCTATCAAGTCATGAAAAGACATGGAAGAAACTTAAATGCATATTATTAAGTGAAAGAAACTAATCTGAAAAGGCTACATACTGTATTATTCCAGCTTTATTACATTCTGGAAAAGGCAAAACTATGAAACAGTAAAATGATCAGTGGTTGCCAGGGGTTGGGAGGAGAAAGGGGTGAATATGCAGAACACTGAAGATTTTTAGGAGAGTGAAACTATCTGTGTGTTACTACAGTGGAGGATCCATATCATTACACATTTATCAAACCCCCTAGAATGTACAACACCTAATGCAAACTGTGGACTTTGGATGATACTGTGTCAGTGTATGTTTACTGATTGTAATAAATACAGTCTGGTGCATGATGTTAATAGTGGGGAAGCTGTGTATGTGTGGGGACAGAAGGTATATGGTAATTTTTTTGTACTTTTGCTCATATTTACTGTATACCTAAAACTACTATAAACAATAAGTTTATCAATTTCAAATATAAATTAAAAATAGTAATTAATTGAATTGCTATTTAACTGTTCCAGAGCATAGAAGGAGGAAAACTTCTGAGTTATGAAGCAATTATTACATTGATAGAAAAGCTTGAAAAATATTGTAAAAAAGAAAGCAATAGCTCAGTCTCACTTGTTTCTATTAATAGAAATATCCTAAATAAAATATTTGCAAAGAAGATCCAGTAGCACATTAAAATAATGAATCTAGGAGACCCTCTGTGGCTTATCCTCATGAACACTACAGTGCCATTAGAAATTTTAGCATTTATTCTTTAAAAATGTAAAAAAATATTAGACAAATACTTACCATTACAAAAGATATAAACCCTTCAAAACTAAAAGGGAAAATACAGAAGTACTTTTATAAATGACTAGCATCTGCAGGTGCCACCAGATAAAAGATATGAGTGAAAAAAACATAGTGTGCAGCATGAACAGTAAATATAGATTGTCTAGAAACTCATTCAACAACTAATGTCAAAGATATATGCTATAGGAATGAAACTTTATGTTTTTTTATTCTTGTTTATTCTATTATAGTTGTCTCAATTTTTCCCCCTTAGACCTCCTCCATCCAGCCCACCCCTCACTCCCACAGTCTGTTCTCATACCAGTTTCCATGTTCATGGGTCATTCATACATGTTCTTTGAATAATCCCTTCCCCTCCCTTCCACCATTACCCCCACTCCCTCCTCTTCTTCTGCAGCTGTCAGTCTATTCCATGTTTCTATGTCTCTGTTTCTATTTTGCTTGTTAGTTTATTTTGTTCATTAGATTCTTCTTATAAGTGAGATCATATGGTATTTGTCTTTCACTGAATGGATTTTTTCACTTAGCATAATAGTATCCAATTCTATCCATGCTGTCGCAAATGGAAGAAATTCCTTCTTTCTTTGTGCTCTATAGTATTCCATCATGTAGATGTACCACAGTTTTTTAATCCACTCATCTACTGTTGGGCACCTAGGATGTTTCCAACACATGGCTATTTTAAATAGTGCTGCTATAACATCAGAGTGCATAAGTAGTTTTGAACTGGTGTTTTGGGATTCTTAAGGTCTATTCCCAGCAGTGGAATCACTTGGTCAAAAGGCAGTTCCATTTTTAATTTTTTGAGGAAATTCCACACTGTTTTCCACAGTGGCTGTTCCAGTCTGCATTCCCACCAATGGTATACTAGGGTTCCCTTTTCTCCACATACTCTCCAGTACTTGTTGTTTGTTGATTTATTAGTAACAGCCATTCTGACCTGTATAAGGTGACATCTCATTGTGGTTTTAATTTGTATCTCTCTGATGGCTAGTGATGTTGAGCATGTTTTCATATGTCTATGGGAAATCTATATGTCCTCGTTGGAGAGTGTCTGTTCAGGTCCTTTGCCCATTTTTAAATTGATTGTTTGTCTTCCTGGTATTCAGTTGTATGAGTTCTTTATATATTTTGGAGATCAAACCCTTGTCCAATGTATCATTAGCAAGTATGTTCTCCCAAACTGTCAGTTCCCTTTTCATTTTGATGATGATTTCTTTATCCATGCAGAAGCTTTTTCATTTGATGTAGTCTCATTTGTTATTTTTTCCTTTATTTCTCCTGCCCTAGGACATGTATTGGCAAAAATATTGCTATGTGAGATATCTGAAATTTTACTGCCTATTTCCCTCTAGGACTTTTATGGTGTCACAACTTATATTTAAGTCCTTTATCCATTTTGAGTTTATTCTGGTGTATTGTGTAAGTTGGTAGTCTAGTTTTGTTTTGGTTTCTTTTTGCATGTACCAGTCCAGATCTCTCAACACCATTTATTGAAAGGATGGTTTTTATTCCATTGTATTGCTCACACTGCCTTTGTCAAATATTAATTGACCATAGAGACATGGGTTTATTTCTGGGCTCTCTGTTCTGTTCCACTGAACTACGTGTGTCTGTTCTTATGCCAGGACCTGACTGTTTTGATTATAGTAGCCTTGTACTATAGTTTGATCTGGTATTGTGATCCCTCCAATTTTGTTCTTCTTTCTCAAGATTGCTGTGACTATTTGGGGTCTT